AGAGAGAGAGAGAGAGAGAGAGAGAGGTGAAAAATAGATATAGCAATTAAAAAAATGCATATTTAAGATTAATAACAAAAAAATCACTATCAATAATGAATTTTAGCATCTTACTTGCAAAATAAATTTGTAAAATAAATGCATGTGTCTGATTACATCACCAGTCTGAAAAATGATCAAAATTAAGTGAGTTTATGCTTAAAATAAGAACAAATATGATAATTTAATAAATATTATAAAAGAAAATCAAAATTTTTACCCCCAAAAAAAACAAACAACAACATTGATATATTTTCTTGTTTTAAGCATGAACTCGATTCATTTTGATGACTTTTATCAGCGATATTTGATTTCTCCAGTAAATGTATCTTGATGTCAGAATGTTTAGATGTTTGTACTGGAAGAGCTAAAAACAAAAAAAGACAAAAATACTAACGAAGAAACAGATTTTTTGCAGCGTGGAGGTGAAGAGAGAAAAACATGATGCTGTTGACCACAGGATGTTGAAAACGCAGCAAAACACACAGGACACTGCAGTGTGGACGAGCAGGAACACACACACACACACACACACACACACACGCTGGAGCGCGGCATCATGAGAGCCTGCAGTCGTACGATCCCTCCTCCAGCGGCTCCTGCTCCTCCGGCGGCGTGTCGTTCAGGGGCCGGGCGCTGGCTCCGGCGGGGCCGTCCGAGGGCAGCGGGTGAGCAGCGGTCAGCTCCTCGGCTCGGGGCAGCAGCAGCAGCGGAGGCTCGCTCAGTTTGGACGCTCCGGTCGGCTGGAAGGCTTCGGGCTGAACCTGCTCCACAGGAACCTCCAGGAGCTTCAGCAGCTGCGGACCAATCAGGTTCAGGAACGGCTTGTAGCCCAGACTGACCACACACACACAGAAAGAGAGAGAGAGTGTGAATAAATGCTTACTTCACATCAGAAACAGTACAGAAGTAACCAAACCGTAAGAGTCAGAGAGAGGGTGGAAAACTAACATCAAATGTTTTTGTTGTAAGAAACAATGACTGACACTACATCTGGATGTTAGTGTGAAAAAATAAAATAAGCAAATAAATAAAGAATATCTGACCCCACACTTTGGAATATATACTTATACCGATATGAAAATAAAACAATTAAAATAAAATGATAAATATACAAAATATAACAAAAAATATGTCTGACCCCACATTTCAGAATATATATTTATATATAGTGATATTATTTTTTTTTTGGTTTAATATAATTTCACTATATATTAATATATTCAAAAGTGTGGGGTCATATTAATTTTTATTTGTTTAGTTATAATTTAATTTTTATTTATTATCATAAACAAAAAATAAAAAACAAAAAAATAATATCTGACCCCTCACTTTTGAATATATATTTTTATACAGTTATATACTACTGCTCAAAAGTTTGGGATCAGTAAGATTATTTAAAAAGAAATTCATACTTTTATTCATTAAGGATGCATTAAATTGATCACAAGTGCCAGTAAAGACATTTATAATGTTACAAAAGATTTATATTTCAAATAAACGCTGCTCTTTTGAACTTTCTATTCATCTGTGAATCCTGAAAAATAAAATGTATAACAGTTTCCACAAAAATATTGTGCAGCACGACTGTGTTCAACATTGATAATAATCAGAAATGTTTCTTGAGCAGCAAATCAGCATATTAGAATGATTTCTGAAGATCATGTGACACTGAAGACTGGAGTAATGATGCTGAAAATACAGCTTTGATCACAGAAATAAATTACAGTTTAACAGATATTCACATAGAAAACAGCTGTTGTACATTGTAATAATATTTAAAAAATTTTTACAATATTTTTGATCAAATAAATGCAGCCTTGGTGAGCAGAAAAGACTTAATTAAAACCATTAAAAACTATTACAGATACAGTAGTGCATACATTTTTTAAGAAAAAAAAAAATGACAGGATTAATTTAAATCATTTTTGTTTACATTTTTCTCTAAATTATATATCTTTATTTTCTCATTAAATGTGTATGATTAGCACTTAAACACATTAAACAAATACATTAATATATGAAATGAAATTTGCCAGTGATACTGACCAATCAGACGAGGCCCACAGGTCGACAGCTTTCAGACCGGCTCGGATGCTCTGGACCGTTTCTGGTGGGACTTCTGGACTGTCCAAAAACCCCACGACCTGCTTAATGACGCCGGCGTCTCGTAAGATCAGCCCGATGACGACGCACCACTCCAGACAGCCGGCCTCCATGAAGACGTGCAGCAGATACCTGTTAATCACACTCACGTCAGCATCTCGTCATCAGACTCGACGATCGCTTGCATTAGATTCATCAGACTGGACTGACTCACCGCAGCTGAACCTGACTTTTATGCGGCCCTTTATTGGCCAGCTCCATGGAGATGTGCTCCAGCTCTGATTGGCTGAGACTGAGGGTGGAGAAATTCTCGTCGACCATCGTCCAATCACCATCCACCATGGAGCTGGTCTCAGTCAGGTCCGTGGCTGAACCGATGCTGCACTCCTCTCCTGATAAACAGAAAAATAACATGAGACAGATAGAAAGAGAAAGAGATACCAACACACAGACTGGTTTAACGCAAACCTTTGTTGATGAGAGGAGAGAGAAACGCCTCCTGCGTCTGCGGCCCTCCGTGAGAGGAGGCGGAGCCCAGTTCCTTTGAGACCGCCCCCAAACTGTCCAGCCAGCTGTGATTGGCTGTGGTGACCTGAGGGGGCGTGGTGTCCATGTCACTGTTCAGCAAACTGTCCGCAGACTGAGACTTCAGCAAACGAGAACTCAACACTAACGAGATAGAGAGATCATGTGATTGGTCAATCATAACAGCTCATTTACATATAGTCAGCAGAGTTACAAACACAGCCTGTGATAAGTAATGCAAAGAAGATGTTTTACAGAACGGCTGGGAAAAAAAAAGAAATGTAAAAAAAATATTATATCTAAATATATATATATATATATATACTGTATATATATATATATATATATACATACACAAATAATAAAAACAATCATGTGTTATATAAAAAAAAATGTAAAAATGTTTTTAAAAATATATATAATAATTTAAATATATTGAGTTTGATTTTTATTTTTTATTTATATATAACATTTGGAAAATGTAAAATAAAATAATTTTATTTTCATTCATTAAAAAATAATATTTAAATACATAATTATTTTATTTTTAAAATTTTAACATATTTAATTAAAATAAAACATGCACATTTTTATTTTTTAACTTTTAATTTATATTTAGATATATAATTTAGAGAGAGAAAAAAATATAATTATATATGTGTGTGTAAACATATATTTTGTGATTTTACAGGTGGAAAACACATTCACACACCTGGACGGCAGCGTCCGTTCTTCAGCGGCGAGCTAATGGAGCATGCTGGGATTACAGGAAATGGCCACAGGAAGTCCTTGTGCAGGCATTTGAGGGCGGTAACGAAGTCGTCGATCCGTGCGACCCGCGTGCGCTCCCGACACAGCCAGCCAATCAGCTCGAAGCCCAGCTGAGCAGAGAAACAGCCCAGATCCCGCAGTCTGATCTGCTCCAGCAGGTGCCTCGCGTGACGCCACAGCATCATATCAATGTAGAGATTCTCCGCAGAGTCACTGTCCTTACACCAGCGCTCTCCGCTGACCACACACACACACACACACACACATCATCATATAAACTGAACCATGTTGTGTGTCAGTGTTGGTCAAGTTACTTCAAAGTACAAGGTACTAGTAATTAGGGCTGCATGATTTAGAGAAAATCAAATTATGATTGCAATGGGGGAAAAAAACAACAAATAAAAAATAATAAAATAGCAACAACAATAATAGTAATAATAATAATGATGATGATGATAATAATAATAATTATTATTATTATTACTTAATAAAATGAAACCAAATAAAAATGACTACTATTTATTTTAAAAAAAAATCACTAGAATATATTATAATGTTTATTATATTTTTAACAATTTTTTTACTGTTAAATAAATGAGTATTTCAGGAAAATATAATAATACATTTTTATTTTATTTTATTTAATTTTACAGCACAACTGTAAAACAACACCACCAATATTTATTAATTTTATTTATCTTAATTTTTTTATTTTCAAAAAAGCTTCTCTTTTGTTGACAACAGCTGGTTTAGAAGTGCTTATAATTACAAGTTTGAGAAAATGGTTTATTTTATTTAATCCTTCGCTTCGATTCCAGTTTTATTTGCGATTAATCATACAGCCCTATTAGTAATGTAAAGCAGGTAAAATACAGTCAAGGTCCTCTCATTTCTATATCAGAGCTAAAACAGTGTTGACTAGCAGCATTTAACTACATATACTGATTAAAAAAGAAAGACAAGAATTAAAGAATCTTTGTCTTCTGAACAGGTTCAACTGAATGAACTGTCCAAACAAACGGATTCACTCAAATGAATCAGAGAGAGCGGGTGTGTTACTATCTGAGACACATATTTAAATCACATATGTTGTGTTACCCTTTGGAGGACGGTCCAGACGGCACGCTCAGGGTCTTCTGCAGGTTGAACTTTCCTCCGGCAATGCTGTCGGCCGACTGAGACAGACTGATGCTGCGGTTCCGGAAGAACTCGAAGCCCCCCGTGGAGCTCTGCTCCTGCAACACACACACACACACCAGACACACACACACATCAGCACAGGATCTTCAACACACAGCATCTCAGCCTCACACACCATCATCATCATCTCACCTGAGTGGTAGGTGTGCTGGGCGGAGTCTCGCTCTCCCCTGAACCAATGGCCTTCAGGAAGCGGATCATGTGACGACACAGATCCCATTTGCCCTGTTCCAGAGCTGTGTTGAAGAGCAGAGTGGCGTGTTGACGGCTGACCGCCGGAACCTCCATATTCTGAGAGCAAAACATACAAATAATATAAATAAGATTCAATCAGATACCCCTCCTTCCTTTTCTACTGACTGACATCTTCCATTATCATCAGGGTTTAAAAAAAATCAGGGTTTAGAAATACATGACTGTTCCACGAGTTCATTCAGAAATGATATTTTATTATTAGAAATTAGAAATGAATTATTATTAGAAATGCAAATTTTATTATACAAAATATTTCAATTATCAACACAAATCTGAGTGTGAGAGAAAAATATATAAACGATATCCTCCACACTACAAAATCTACTGGGCGGAAATAAAGTATGTCACATATTTTTATCAGATCAGACGAGTCTTAAAATTGAGTTTTTAACTGGTTCAACAAGCTACATTACAGATAATGAAGCCACTACTGGAATTGAAGAATCTCTATTTTCTGAATCAATTCAATTGAATGAACTGTCCAAACAAACTGATTCACTAAAATGACTACTACTTCTGCAAGCTAATATTCAGTTTATGTCAGATATCAAGTAATTTAAGCTTAAATCTAGCATTTCAAGTGCTTTTATGAGCTCATATTCATTCACAAAAATTCATACAATGTTTTGTAAGATTGCATATTTTCATACATATTTTTAGAATTTTACTTGTAACATTATTTGAATTTGTTAGAATCATTTAAAGTAGGTTAAACTAATAAAGATGGAAAAGAAGAATATGAATGGTAAAATATATGAAAAGTGGCAAATTATTCATATTTAACAAAATTTGTATGAACTTTTTTTTTTTAAATAATTCATAATTTTTTTAGGATTTTACTTTTTTTTTAATTTTTTTAAAGTAACATTTTTTACATTTGTTACATCACAGAATCATTTAAAGTAGGTTAAACTACTGAAGATGGAAAAGAAGAATATACATAAAAAATAAATATTAAATTATTGATTTAAAGAGGTTGATTATGTAGTGTACACTAGTCAACATTTGAAGTGGATCAAAACCTTTCATCAAAGTTGTCCTAAAACCTAAAACCAAAATGCATTCTTGTCTTAGGACAACTTTGATTAACTTTTTTGATCCACTTCAAATGTTGACTACTGTATTTCGAAAACAACAAATTTTACATTTACTGCAAACTATGCACATTTAACATACAAATATTTAAATAGTTTGACCTCCTTTTTACAAGTCACACATGTAGCAATTTAAGCTTAAATCCTAGCATTTTCGAGAGCTGATATTCATTCGTTAAAATTCATACAAATTTGTAAGAATGAATTCTGCAACATTTTAATTTATTTGTTACACCACAGAACCACTTAAAGTGGGTTAAACTACTGAAGACTGAAAAGAAAAGAATGTAAATGTGACCCTGGAGCACAAAAGCAGTCATAAGTAGCACAGGTATATTTTTTCCGGGGGCGGGACGGGGCAGCACATGCAAAGCATGCAATGACTGTGGCAACTTTAACATTTGAAAGGATACTATGGCAAAGTTATTGCTTTCTTTATTCAAACTGATTTATTTTTTCATGAATAAAACCTGACCTGAAGAATGAAAGCTATATCATACACTAGGAAATTTATGAGCTATATCACCGCTTATCGACACTAGGGGTGTGACAATACACTTAGCTCACGAGATGAGACAAAATACAGATACTTGGTTCACTAGAATGTGACAATATTAATACTATTTTAAATAAATTTTCAATGACAAAATATTTGTCTTTTAATTACAAAAAGTAAAACAATGCAGTTGGATTTTGAAATATTTTAACTAATCTAGGGCTGCAACTAATGATTAATTGATGTACAATACATGGCATATTTAGACATAGGTTGATGTATTCTGCTGTGTTGGCAAAGGTTTATAAATTACTTGCGTTACAAATCTAGTGAGATAATGCACACTTTTTCCCCAGATGAACGTTAAGCAATTCAAATTCACAGCATATGCAGAGGAAGAGTTTAGCCCCTTTCACACATACAGTTCTGGTAAATTACCGGTAAGTTACCATTATTAGATCATGAGAACAGGACCTTTTCAAAAATCCCGGTAAATTTGTTCTGGCAATCATGTCATTCTTATGGAGATGACATGATTACTCTGA